GCTAATATACGAAGCCTACTCAAGACCCTATAAAACCTGAAAAAAAAACAAATAAAAAAAACGAAAGGGGCTCTAATAGCTTCGATAATAAAAGGAAGACAGCCAGTTGTATATCACAATACTGTTTCTAGCATTATATTTTATTTCATAATCACACATAATCTTATACTCTCAGCTCTTTTCCGAATCGCCTCCATTTGTCAGTTGTATGTCCACTCACACCTTGCTAAAGCTTATTTTCTTTAACCTATTAAAATGCTCTCTCTTAACAAATACCTTAGTAAAAGAAAATTAGACTGAGTAATCATACCTTACACATTCCTACATGAATATTGGCTACTCTGCCTCTCGTGTTTTCTTTTACTTGCTCCCTCTTTCAGCCCCCTTGAGATATGGAACAGGTTACTTCATCCTGCACCATCCTTAAAGCCTTGGATATCCCAAAGGGACATAAGGTTGCGACTTCTAGAAGCTCATACCTTCAATGGACCTATTCTTGACCATCAGTCGCACATTCGCAACGCAACCTTCGTGAAGCGCGCCAACTATAGTACTGATTAAAACAATCTACATTCATGTCTTATAAATTTTCAACCCAGCTATGTAATTTAATACAGTGTATATTGTATCATTTGTATAATTTTATCTTGCCTGTAAACTGGCATGCCTCATGTAACAAACTGTTATTTGAGAATAAATTATTATTATTATTATTATTATTATTATTATTATTATTACTATCAATGCTAGCTGGCCAGTAATATATTTTATACCGAAAATGAATAACCTCAAGATGATATTCATTTGCAATGAAAGTAAATTCATTCTGGGAGTAAGGAAAAAGCTTTACATAGATTTACCACTTGCAATTGATCAATAGATCATTTCACAATTATATGGCCACATTCTTGTGGTTCGTAACAACCGAACCTTGATATGCCATGTGGTATATGATGACATACTTTAAACGAGTATACCGGACAATAAGTATAAGTTAGTAAACACATAATGTATTGGATTTGTATCATGTTCATCATAGTGATCGATAAATTGGAATCTTACTCGCAGCAATTACATGTTAGCCCTTATAACCACAGGCTAAACATCTCATATAGGATAGGAAGATTGATTTCCACCTAGTGAATGAGATAAACATACCTTCAAGACTAAGTTAGTGAGGAATGACAAATAACTGTTTAGTTTAGTTTAGATATGCGCTATCGCTAAGTTCAAAGGAGAAAAGTAATTGGATAAACGGTATTCTAAATTTCATTGGACATTTTAATGTGCATTATCACCCAAACAAATATTACGACCCAATTATTCAACCAATAATTGTTCAATCAATAGTCAACTCAAGTGCAACAAATAAACGTTATTCTATCCTTTATGGATAGATGACACAGAGATTATTCAAAAGGTATTGCACGAACCGTTTTTGACCGCGCACGTAAAATTTACTCAAAAGAATGCCTGGAAGAAGAAATAGCTCTCATCACTAATTGCCTACGTAAATATGCATATCCGGCGGAATTCATCCATAAATATGCAAAAACCAACTGTCGGGTAAAATATGACAGAGTGGAGAAGAAAACTTGCTTCTTATACTTACGATTCAAAAGAGACGAATTTACTGGAATAATTAATCAAAGAATACATTCCACGTTGGAATTAACCTACCCAGCAGCTAAACTAACGACGGTATGTAAAACGACCTGCTCACTCAAACGAACTAAAATCGTCAAGCCCTCTTTTCTCAGTAGCTCCAACTGCATTTATCAATTTACATATGCGCGCCAAAGCACATAAATTGGAAGAACCAAGAGGAGAGTACATGCCCGCATTTCTGAGCATGTTCCATAGAAATTGAGGCTGCGAGGGACTAGGTCCCTCAACAGTGCAATAGCTCGGCATTTGCTTGACATCCCTCATGATTTTAAAATTATTAACAGACAGGGAAGCACGGCACAGTAATAAACCTATTACTACCATGGTAATCCATTTTTTGTTTCTGTTTTTGTTATTAGTTTTATTTTTTCCATTCCTGAATTCTTAAACGACCCTTTCACTCACACATTTCCGCTCACTTCACCCCCTCAAATTATGTGAACTCTTCAAATTCTATTCAATTATTACGTAACCCATCTTATCACTTTTTAATTCCATGACTCCTTCATTACCTCTAAAATTATCACAGTTTATCTTATCTGTCTCTGACTCCACTCAACTGTTAAACACCGATCCTTTATCCTAACACCAAATAACCTCTAACCTGTTCTTGCATGTATGTATATAGTTATTTTTGATAACCATTATGCTTCCAATCCTTTACATTCACTTATGTCAAATGTTCCATGCTATTTCTTATCTCATTGTAAAATTCTAATACGTATTTCGTAGTAAGCAGCTGACGAGAAACCACGAAATATAGTGAATTAATATGATTCTGCACCAATGTTTGTTCTGGCTTATTTAAATCCGAGAGGTAACATTTGATTTCGTTACATCACACAGTGCTTCCAACTCGGGAAGAGTGCTTCAATTCACAATCGAAAATGCACAATTCCAGTTAATGCAGGCAAAACAATCAAGAAGGGGAGCGTATCAAAATGGCGGCCACCTTAACTAAATATTGGCAACAACAATATGGACATGGTTCGGAAAAAGAACATGAGGATTCAAAGACGTAAGGAAAACGAAAATTACAGTTAAATGCAAGTAGTCCCATCTCGAATGGAATCAAAATATTGATATGTACATCTCAATCAATCACGAGGAATAAATCACTTCAATGGTTACGTTGAGAGATTATCATACACAAGACTTTCAGAAAGGTTCTTACGATAAATAAAAGCTGGAGTTAATGCATTTGATCAGCAGTGATCATTAAGTTTGGAAATTTATCGTAATATAGTAGTTATTTTGTTTAGTGTCAATAAATTTTAAACGGGACAGGAACCATAAGGTTTGTAGAATGAAATGGAATCATTTTAACTCACGGTTTATCATCAGCTGCATACAACTTTAAATAATAATTCCTAATATGATTTTTGACAAACGTTTCATTATATTTTAGTTCGTGAAGTTCAGATAAGTGTTTGAGACGTAAGTGAAATTATATTAGTAAGGAGAATAAGACACAAAGTGCATGAATAAGCATAATTAGGATCGGTGTACATTGATATGTTTGGAGGTAATAATGTAGATTAGAAAAAATGTTACGGTTACCAGCAAACATGATCAATCTCATTACTGTTAAATAAACTTTTTCAGTGATTGTGTAATTCCTCAACATGACAACATATACGAATTTAATACGCTCTATTCTCTAATGGATAATAGAGCCAAATAAATAACGCTTGGCTCAAGAAGTTTCAAATGCTGAGATTGTCCGTTCATTTCGTCCAAGTGAAGCGTAGTAGAGTATTGGACGGATGAAAATTATTGCGTATACCACAAATTGTAAGTTATGGAATTGAAACTTCACTTAAAAGTCTTCAGTCTTCAGTCTTCAGTAATAAGGATAGTAGGTTGATGAACCTGTGTTAATCCTGACACATTGCTTTCCAGTGAAGGTCCAGCTTTTCCTTAAAAGTATTCACTGATGGGGCTGATACCACTTGTTCGGGTAAGGCGTTCCAATGATTGACTACTCGATGAGAAAAATGAGATCCCACTTTAAGTTTATTAGATCGTGGTTTATGAACCTTCTTGCTATGACCTCGGAGATTATTAGTGCTGGAGGGAGCAAAAAGATAAAACATATTAACACCCAAATCATAATTAAAGATACGAAATGCCAGTATAAGGTCACCTTGTGTCCTACGACACGACGAGGGGAAAAGATTTAGGCGTTTTAAACGCTCATCGTAAGGGAGTCTAGAAAGACCCTTCACTAATTTCGTTCCCACACGCTGGACACGCTCAAGGGAGTTAGTATCCTTTACCAGACACGGGCTAGCTGCTTGGATACAGTACTCTAAATGTGGTCTAACATATATGGGATATAAAATTCGAAACGTTTCCTCGTCAAAAGATTTGAACGCTCGGCGAAGTGACCATAACGCACGAAAACCTTTGACAGCGGCTGCTTTGCAATGCGTAGTTGTTTTTAAATCATGACTTAATACTACTCCTAAGTCTTATGCTCTTGAACGCATGGAAGAGGTTTACCCTCAATAGTGTAACGGTAACTATTACCGTGACCGATGTGCATTAGTACACTCTTCCTAGCATTGATTTCTAAGCCCCACTCTCGAGCCCATCTAACTAAATCGTCTAAGTCAGCTTGAAGATCCACATGATCAGCCGCACTTTTTATTGTTCTCCAGATTTTTACATCATCCGCAAACAATAATGTCGACGACCTAATTAACAGTGGTAACTCATTAACGTAGAGAAGGAAGAGCAGAGGGCCTAAGATGGTGCCTTGGGGTACACCACTTTTGACCGGCTTCCAATCGGATAGCGTTCCATTGACCCTAACTCTCTGTCTGCGGTCACATAAGAGATTTCCTATCCACTCATGTACAGTACCTATTATTCCAAAGCTCGTGAGCTTCTGCATAAGACCTACGTGTGAAACCTTGTCAAATGCTTTGCTAAAATCTATGAATATCACATCGACAGACAGACCGTTATCTAGGGCTGCTGTCCAATCCTCCCTCGCAATAAGCAAGTTAGTCAAGCATGAACGCTTGTTACAAAATCCGTGTTGCTCAGGAGCTAACAGATTGTGTAAATCTATGTGGCTTAGCAACCTAACCCGAATTATCTTTTGGAGTAACTTAACGACAATGCTAGTTAGACAAAAACTGAGAGCCAGTCGCCTACCGGAACCCGGGAGGCGAATGTGCCTTTCTATCCATCAGACGGTACACCAATATTTCGTAACAACGCGCACCATGTGTATGATATAAATTTGGCCCGAATTCGACAGTTGTTTGTGGTGACCTTGATATTGATGCTTAGCCTTGACCTACATACCCTAATTCTATGGTGACTTGTGTTGACGCGCTAAACAAAAGTGATGCTTGATAGTCAACCAAATATAATCGAACTTGTGAAGGAGGTTCTTTGAATTCACATTTATATTTTTAGCTAGTTTTTGGAGTACTTCCAACTTCACGAGAGTTGCAATGCATTTACAGAAGAATCACGCATATTTCATGGTGTGAACCTGGAGCAATGGAGGCCTGCTTCCGATTTTAAAAAAAAGGTAAATTAGAAATCATACTGACTCAGCTTTAAAAGCAAGAAGTACTTAATCTTCTCAGAAATATTAAGAAAAAAGAATTTTATCATGCCTTGTTTACTTTGGTGCCTGAAACTGAGCGACAGAAGCAGGAATTTATGCAGCTAGAATTTGATCTCAACCTGTTTTTCCTGACTGCATTTTGGCAGGAGTATAACAACGTAATTTTTCGTCAGGTTTAATAACTTTTCAGGACGAAAGACATGCATCCATGCAAGAATTCAAGCTATATTTAGAAACTAGGGGCTCAGTTCATAGTCAGAACACGGAGTTTCTGGCTTATTATGCATTGCCTTATGTGACTAAACCTAATGAACACCCGATATACCGTCAGCTTTTTGAGGAAACATGGCGAAACTCTGTTGTCTTACGTTTGTCAAAGTACATTGATTCAATCATTCAACCAAATGGTGGTAAAATCCCCCATTTACTTAATTTGGTCACCAAACCTAACGTGAAGCAAGATCGTCTGCTGCGGCAGCTTACGGTATGTTTAAATAAATTTACTTTTATTGTCCAGAATGAGTTGTCAGATGCTGAAAAGCGAGCAACACAGTCTCAGAAACGGTTAACCAGGCTGCAGATGGATTATCAAACACTTATATCAGTAACTGCAGATATTCTAGATGCCTTAGAAAGTACTCTAAAAGGAAAATCTCTAGATAGCTCAGTAATGCAAAAAATATACTCTCGTCTGGTACATAGTCAAAATAATGGGATTTTAAGGGTAAATCATCAAAACAGTCAGTTCAATAAGACATCGAATAATACTTTTGGATGTGAAACCAAAGAAATACTGTTTGGAGAGGAAAAACCTGAAACTAATGGTAACAAACCAAACCCGTCCGTTGGCTTATACTGGTATGTTGGTATGAACTTGTTTCTTCTAGTCAATTAAATTTCTATAATTACGTAATGTACATTTTACTACCACCATAAACTTAAAAGTCAAGACCGATTGTATGTAGTGTCTTATCTGGCTTTTAATGGTGGCTTATCATTTCGGAAGTCTAGATCAGTGATAGACTCAATAAGTTGTCTGTTTGAAAGTCACAGAAGTGAGACTTATTCTGTGGAGTTGTTACTACGTGAATTGTATTGAATAACGCGCTTAAGCGAAGTCCCCGACATTAACTTGAAGATATTCATCAGTGCTTTATGTTTCAAGGATGGTTATTTAGTGCAATGCACTGGGATACCATATTATTCTACGTTAAACATTTGTGACCCTCAATGATATAATATTTTTAGCTATTCAGACTCATTCACAAGATGCACCACAATTATCGACTATGTTATTCTTATAATTATTTTTCGTACCTAAGTATTTTTGTAAATTAGTCGAGACTACCGTTTTCGAGTGTTTTTGATTAAGCCTTTTTGAGGGATTGTATTCTTTAGTTTTAGATCTGATTTGTGTAATTGACGCTTGAAGGAAATTTATATATCGTATAAAATACAACTTTTCTTTTCTAAGGTAATTAGCAAGTATTTCAACTTCCAGAATATTAGAAAGTTTAACCCCGTTATGCTTTATCTATGACTCAGCTATTAGATCTGCCTAAAATAATCATTTCAAGTGAAGTAACTAAACAGCTGAATTTAGTCAAACTGCAAATTTGTCATTTTGTTATTCGTAATTTATTAATAACTTGAAGTGTGAAAAGTACATTACACGCCATATAAACAATATGTTGATCTAAAATAAAATATATTTATTCATACCATCAGATTTTGCTGATCATGTTTCAGTAAAAGCTGCCTGTAATAATTAATTTAAATGTTATATTTTTAAAAACAACCCGAAAATTCTTTTTACGAATTCAAAGAAAATCAAATTTGCCAATGTCTAGAATAATTAACTAACTTTACCACTTCACCAACTAGACCGTTACGTTTTATAGATGTTTACTTATCGAGGCTTAGTGTACCTATTAGGGGTCATGACTTGTAGCTTAATAGATCACCCAATAATTCATGCTTGAACTAATCTGGTTTTTAAGCACTTCTGCTTATTTTTTGAATGAGCTTCTCTCTTCTAATCAAGCCTGTGAATTCACGTCGAAATTCAGTTAGCTATAGTCGAATAGTTTGTGACTGATATAAATGACTGATTAACCCATTTGAGTTTGTTTTTAAATAAGGTTCGCTATGAATACCTCTAAGTTTCATGTTAAATCTTTCCACCGAATCTAAATGTTCGGTGCCAAAATGATATTTGTGTACTGCTCTTCCTGTAAACCTAGAAAAGTAAATTATTTAAAACCTTCTGACAAATTAATCCATCTTTCCTTACCGTAGTAGAACCACCTTTTTCCTCTAGTAGGCAATATTTATAATGCAACCGCACAAACATAATATTCTGTTCACATCAATTTGCAAGATATTCCTTTAAACTGTCAGCTTAAATGGTGTTGTAAACAAATGATCCTTTTAGTTCTTAGGCTCTACTCATAGCTTTGTTTCTGAATAAGATTTCATGTAACACTAATACCGTTATTCTTAAGTTTCATTATTTGGAATAAACGTAAGTGGAAAGAATTCTACTTGTGCTAGCTGACGATAATCTGTTTACTGATTTAATACCAAAAAGCCTAAATCAAACTTAAAGAAAGGATCGATAAAGAATAGCCGGTTGATTGTGTTCTACCCCTAAAAATTTCAACACGTTGAAATAATACACTTTGAAGTTGTTTTATCGGAAGACAATATCATTACTCGTTTATCGCTCAACAATACTACGAAAGTATTATCGGTGTTGATAACAATGTTGACAAGAGCTTGAGTACTGAAGGCGAATTAGCAATTTATCTCCCCAACATGCTGAAATAGTTCATCAAAAGATGAATAACGTGAATTTTTTTAAAGAATTATTAACTTAACTGCCCGCAAACTTCGAAGAACTGAAGATTCTAAATAAAAAGTATGTAAATCATCATGTGCTAAAATTACTAAAGAGTCTTCTTCATGTTAGACGTACCAAATTTCATATTTGATTCCTATGAAGAAGGTTCAAAAAGAAAGTTTTACAATGGCGATATGTGTCAGGAAATAAGTTTTGTTTCTGTATGGCTTTATTGTGAAAGCAAAAGGTCTCATGACAATTAAACGAGAGGTATTTGTTTGACCAGTGGACTATATTTAAAATCTACTAAGAGTTTAAAGCAAATGTCAATGCAGAAAAACAATAGATAGTCAGAGTTAGTCTATAGAAAAGCTTTAACTTCGACTTCATGATAGTTAGCATATGTTTACAAAGTATACCTAATATATTAGGAGGACTCATGCCCACTTTTTGACTCAAACCTGCTCCATACTGAACCCTATAACCTTATAACATAGTGCACACGGTTTTTATCATTTGAACCAGTGGGTACATTGCAACTTGAGTAATAAACACAAAGTAACCAGACATGTATGACACTGGCCACTACTCAGTGATCAATCAAATGTTGATGATTTAATCAAAAATAGGTGATTCTGTTCATGTGGTTTGTGGTTTGTGTATAAAACCAATACTTTTCATCTGAAATAGATGGGCCCCATTCAAGATCTTTTCGATACAACAGTTGAGTAGTTGAAAAACTATTTATCTATAGAAACGTTTGATGTGAACAATGAGGCGTATTAACAGTTAAGTTTTTTGAAAACATGCATTAGGATAGAACATAAGTTTTGTTCTAAGAATATATTCGCTTTCTGTATTGTGGTTGTTTATTCTATGTATAACAGGTTCAAAAATCTGGTTCTCTTATTTATTGAGTGACGTTTCAGTTGTACCATGTAAATGACTGATAAACATGAATAGGTAAAGTTCCAATTTTATTCCTTATAGATTTGAGTAAAATGACAACAAAATAGATTTGCGGTTCTATTTTATAGATTCTCATTAGTTTTTGAACAACGAAAAGGACATCAAAAGATCAATGTAAAAAATATCTAAGTACATGAAAGGCATGTGCTACTCTTAGGTTGAAAAACTGGGCTCGCTGAACTTCAATTTTATCTCAACTCATATTAGTCATCGTTGGTATACTTTCGTAAATATTTCGTTTATTTAAACACACAAACATTGGTACGAGGAGGCAACAAATAGATATACGCCACACAAGTCACTTGATTTGTGATCGAGCTGTGATACTGCCCGGGTGCCCAAATCAAAGCAGGTGATTTTCTTAGGGGAACACACCCGTAGACTTCTACCTAATGGTCTAATCCACAAAACGACGTCACAAGATGCAGTCCTATGGTATCCAGTGACCAACAGTTGAATCATTCACCATTTGTTCCTTCAGGATACTGGAGCCCATGTTCCACCATTGATTTGGAATGAGGGATTTCCAACTCCCATAAGTGGATCTTCAATACCCATCAACCCGTCTAAAGCACCGGACGTTTGCCTTTCATCGTCTCAATTTCGCAAACAACAGTAATGCCTTGAGAAGGTGGCGAGTGGGACTTCGCTGGCAGTGGTTGTATGCACGAGGCCATATGAGAGCCTTTGGAGAGAGAGAAACAGCTGGCTCTTCCTACTCTCGGGCGTACCAGGGCTCTTGAATTTTTATAAAATATTATGATATAAAATCTATTCAGGATATAAATAATTTTATGAAGCTTATTCTGTATGTCACTCACTAGTTAATGAAGCTAAAAACTTAACTATTATATCGAGTTCTTTATTACTCGTTTGATAAATGCGGACCATTTTCATACGAAGAAGTCTCTATATGACATCAGAAATTGATTTTCTTGAGATAGTTTTCATCACAGACTAACATCAACTTATGGGCTTTTAAAAACCAGGAAGCATTGGTTAGTCATTTTGTTCTAGTATTATGCACCTATAATCACCCCAAATTCTCCCTGAAGACTTTTATATTTTGAAGTGAATGAGCTACCTTTAAACTATGGACGATTATTACCTAGTGATCCATATATCAATCTGAGTTAATTTACGGTTTAAGATGACTTATCCGATGTCGACAGTTATATATCTGTTTCACTTCCAATACCATTTAGCTTTACAGATCATGAACCCCGACTACGGTAGTGAAAAGTAACATGATTCATATGATTGTATGGTAGTTTCTCATAATGATTAGTCGATTTAATTTAGTAAAATAGTAGTTTAAGTAAATAAACTGATGTAATTAGACCGAGTATATGATCATGTACAGTGTTGATTCATCCAATTGAAAGATCCTCTAACTGGGAAAATTCCTGTAAAGTATGGTAAAGATATATAACAACTATTCATTTCCTATACCTAAAGAATTGGAGTAAATATATCAACTACAATGTATCCATCTCATTCATCGATGACAAATGTATGTACTTGCATTTGAGGTATACTCTTTATGAAAATTAATAATAGTAATCAACTGTCTAAATTGAAGCATATTCGGAATGAGATTGGAAAATCAAAACAGACTGGTTGGAAACCAAGTATCTTAATTATTAAGTTATTGCTTTGTCACTGTTCATATAAATTCTAGTAAAGCCATCGTACTTACTTACTTAATTACGCTTGTTACTCCCAATGGAACATAGGCCGTCAACTAGTATTCTCCAACCTACTCTGTCCTCCGCCTTCCTTTCTAGTTCTATCCAATTGTTGTTCATTCTTCTCATGTCTGTCTTCATTTCTCAGCAGAATGTTTTTTGGTCTTCTACTCATCCTTTGGCCTTGAGGAATTCATATGAGGGCTTGTCTTGTGACGCAGTTGGGTGCTTTCTTCAATGTGTGTCCTATCCACTTCCAACGCCTCTTCCTTATTTCTTCCTCTTCTACAGTAGGTTGTTGCTAATAGTGTCTGGCCAACGGATCCGAAGTATTTTTAGTAGACAGCTGTTAACAAACATTTGTATCTCTGAGGGGAGAGTTTAAATGGTTTGAATTATTTTTTTGGTCAGCGTTTTTTTTAGCGAGTTAGTTTTCTACGGGATGGGGTTAATGACCCCATGCCCAACCCTCCTCCTTTATCCTAGCCTGAGACCGGCAGTAACCCCAGAGGGGCTCCAGGAGGAGTTGCAGTGCCATCATACATTCTATGAAGTAAATATTTCTTAGAATAAACTTTGAAAGCTGGGTTGGTGCCGTTTTACATAGTGGTTTTTGTTTACATAGTTGTACATTTGGGCATTAAGTATTCAGTATAATGTAAACTAATATAATTATAGAATTATTTTTACTGATTAAACTTCAACAATTCATCTTTTTTAGTATTTTACTTCCCTTTTCATTACTTCCATAATCCTCATTTATTTTTTCTTGAGTTAAATCTAATTATGTTTTGAATCCCACCAGTTGGATCGTGGATGATTACTGCCAAGGAGTCCCATACCAGGACGAAACAAACATCCAGTTCTTTCAGGTTTTCCATGATGGTCTAACTTTAATCAATTCATGAAATCAACTATTACAAAATAACTACAATCCACTAAAAACCTCATTCTGATAATTAATTTTTGACTGTTAAATGTTTAAGTACTTTTCGAAAAAATATTTTTGTACCGTAATGAACGAGAACATACAAGTGAGGATAATCAAATGTATTTCAACATAAACTTATAGAATCTCTTAGTGAAATATGAGAACCTTATAGTGAATACTTCATTTGCAAAATGTCAATCAATTGTCTCAGACTTGATTGTTCCTTCATTTCCACACCAATCATCTTCTGTTCTTATTCATTTTTCTTTGATCTTCTTAACCTTCTACCTTCAGCCATTTCACATTCGACTGATGATGCACACTACTTATATCTGTTGACATCAGTAGCACACATCACAATATCGTTTTTATATAATAAAATGATATTTTTTAGAACAATCTCAAATCAAAGGGCTCAGATTATCCATATATATTTTTGTATAACCTTGCAAAATAACTAAAACGTAATTACTATTAGACTATAGTTACTTACGCCTGTTACTCCTGGTGAAGGAGCATAGGCCGCTCACCAGCATTCTCCATCCAACCCTGTCCTGGGCAATCCTTTCTAGCTCCGTCCAGTTCCTATTGATCCTTTTCATATCTGCTTCTATTTCCCGACGGGATGTGCTCTTTGGCCTTTCTCTTTTCCACTTTCCTTCAAGATTCCAAGTTAGGGCTTGCCTCGTGATGCAGTTTGACGATTTGCGTAATGTATGTCCTATCCATTTCCATCGTTTTTTCATAATTTCTTCTTCAGCTGAAAGCTGGTTTATTCTCTTCCACAAAAGGCTGTTACTGATGGTATTCAGCCAATGGATAATAAGTACCTTGCGTAGACAACTATTTATAAATACTTATACCTTCTTGATGGTGGGTAATATATGTTATATTTCAATACAATCTGTATATATTCTCATATAATTTACTTTTTAATTGTAAATAGATATAAAATAGTCAAGAGGTTAAAGGTTTCTCGTGCGAGACCAATACGTCATGAGTTGGAATCCTATAGTCAAGATCATGGGTGCACACTGTTGAGGAGTCCTGTACTAGGACGAAACAATCGTCCAATGCTTCCAGGTTTTTTATAATGGCCTAGTTTACATCAAATTATGAATTCAATTATTAAAAAATGACCATACTCTTCACAAAACCCTCTTTCTCATAAAATTATTCTATTATGTAATTAATTGAGAAAAGAAAACAATTAAAAAGTAGATAATCACATTTACTTATTATCAGAAGAAAACAGCTGATATACATTAGGTATATTAATTACTTACATGTGATAATCATTTCTCTATTTTATGTATCAATAATAAACCAGTCATTTTGAATATGAATATACGAATAATAAGGTTTTTTAATAGCTGAGATCATGATTTGGTTGATATTAGATCAACATGGATAACCTTGAAGCATTGGGTGGCTGTTTCGTCTTATTATGGTACTCACTTGTGAGTATTTTCTGGATTTCTAGTGAGAAGCCGTGTCCAGTGGAGTTCAACCAAGTCTGCTGTGAGATAGTAACTCATTCCCAATGGAGCATACGTCACCAACCAGTATTCTCCAACCCACTCTGTCCTCCGCTTTCCTTTCTAGTTCTATCCAAATGTTGTTCATTCTTCCCATGTCTGTCTGTCTGTCTCCATTTCTCAGCGTAGTGCGTATTGGTCTCCCTCTTCTCCTTTGGCCTTGAGGAGTGCGTTGAGCTTGCGTTGTGACACGGTTGTCTGGTTTCCTCAATGTGCGTCTTATCCACTTCCATTGATTTCTTCTGATTTCTTCCTCTGCTGGGATCTGGTTTGTTCTCTCCACAACAGGTTGTTGCTAATAGTGTCTGGTCAACGGATCCGAAGTATTTTACGTAGACAGCTTTTAATAAACACTTGTATTTTCTGGATGATGGCTTTCGTAGTTCTCCAAGTTTTTGCCCTAATAATGCACACTTCACCTTATCCCACGGATATCCATCGCCGGTATTAAAGTCTTAAAAAGTACAGAGCTAAAACGAAAATTACTCACAAAAAGGTTATGTGTGGCCGACCTCAGGCAGTTGTCCCTTTGGCATTGAGGTCACCTCTAATCCAATTTCCTTTTCAGGTACCTCTAGAAGTATAGTTCCACGGTGTTGGCAACTGGGAAGTGATAACTGACCTCATAATTCTAATAGCACTCAAGATGTAATATATATATTATGTTGCTAGTGAAATTTCATAAATGGAAACTACTTCATAGATTGTTCCTCGTAGTCATAAATTAAAATTCTGAGAACAGAATGAGTATTATTAACTACATTGACTGTAGCATACATAAAACGTTGTTTCATTGTACTCAATGTCTAAGATATTGAAGTTTATTGAAGACATTGAAATGAGTTCTTCTTTAACGTTCAAAAATTTATTAACCATGAAATGATCAATTTTCGATGTAACTATTTTAAAATAGTATTTTTTTCCATTGTCCACCTATTAGTTGCCATGGTTTTGGGTGAATAGTTTGTTCTATATACTATAATGATAATATGAATAGTGTGTTTTTAGAAGAGAATTTTCAATTTTGTCTAGTTATTGCTTGAAATCATGTACTTTTTTTATCTGTATAAACAGTTCCGTTTTGGTTTTCATAGTCATAACTACTGACCAGTCAAATAGATAAGGCTAAATTGAAACATGCCCCTAAATGCCCTGATATGGCCGAGAGTGGAGAGAGTTCACTCTCCTTCTCGAAATGCTCTCATATAGCCACGTGCATACAACAACTTCCAGGGAAGTCCTACTCACTGCCTTCTCGTGCCTGGGGTGTTCTATAAAAAGTTGAGAGGACGAAAAGTAAATGTCCAGAGCTTTAACCGGGTTGGTGGACACGGAGAGTCCACGTAGGGGAGTTGGAAAACCCTCATTCCAAACCAATAGTGCACATGAGCTCCAGTATCCTGATGAAACAAATGGCGTATGAAGCAATCGTTGGTCACTGGCTACCATAGGACTGCATCTCTTGACGTTGCTCCACTGCCTTATGAATCACACCTTTAGGTCGAAGGTTCCGAGTGTGGCCCCCTATGAAAACCAACTGCTTCGGCTTGGGTACCCGGGCAGTATCGCAGCCCTCGTACATATCGGATGATGTATATGGTTCATATCTATTTGTTGCCTCCTTGTACTAATATTTATGTGTTTCAATAAATAAATAAATCAGTTAATTAGTTGATAACAACATGAGACCCGGTACACATGTCAACTAATCCAAATCACCGCATTTTATACGATTATAATAAGGTGAAATGAAAAACAATATCATATATAAGAAGTATAGCAGATCTTTAAAGATGACTGGATTCTACAACTTTATATCATGGAATAAATCTTTCAAGTGACAATTAAAATGTAGACAGCTATTTATATCCCGATGTAACATTTCCCAACAATTTTCACTTAAGACCCTACCTGTTGTTTTCACTTAGAACATACAGATTTCTTGAATTCTAATAGGTAAAATTTCCAAATTTAGTTAGTTTTCTTTTTTTCGTATCACCTGATAGAACTCAATTGCTGAAGTAGTGAAACTTCATCAGTTGAGATGGCTGGGACACGTGATACGTATGCCTAACCACCGACTGCCTCGATGTGCGATGTTTTATGGTGTAGAAGTAGGTTGGAAGGAAACTAGGGGCGGCCAGAGCGAAACATGGCACAAATCCATGAAGTCACTGACGAGTGGACTGAGCCATGTTAGTAGGTGTAGACTACCTGGTTGGGATCCGTGAGATGACAGCAACCGATGGCTAGAGACCTTGAATGATATGGCTCAAAATCGTTTGCAATGGCGCAGGTGCATCCACTCTTTGTGTTCTCCCATATTTTAATCTTCTGAATTCTTCATGTCCCTTTCTTTTTCCTCTCTCCAAATTAATTTCACTGTATTATACTCCTTGAATAACATCTTCAAACCCTAATGTTTCCGATTACTTCTTATACTCTTACTACCTTTACCACTACGGAATTTGAATCGACAACTGCACCTGTGTGGTAATGTGGTGTGGCAACTCGAACTGATGTACGTACGTACGAAGTTCTACGTTGTTACTGACTGACTGATAGAACTCAGTCCGTTCTGATTTTGTACAGTTATCTAATCAAAGCTATTCCATTATGTTAAATGTCTTGAAATTGTACCATATCCATAAAAAGCTACTAACTTATAACTTGATATCTAATTATATATGATGATAAGTTTGATCTTTGAGTCCAAACACTACTACTACTACTACTACTACTACTACTACTACAATTTGCTTATTTACTCTCTGAAGAAGTGGTTTACACTGAGTTACGAAACACCAGAAAAATTAGAAACTTGATTTATCTCATTGGGATATTACCCATCTATTTTTATTACAAACACTACTCTGTTGAATCCGCTTCTTCCAGGATAGAATAATGCGTTTACATACTTTCCAAATATACTACATACTTACTTACTTACTTACTTACGCTTGATACTCCCAATGAGGCATAGGCCAAATATGACTACATTATATTATCTCAAAGCCATATTTTATAGGTAATCCTTGATGTGAATGGGTTGAATTCAATAATTAACTTAAAAACTACTTTTTCTTAATTTTCTCACTTCAGGAATGAAATACTTCAGCCAGATATTGAATTGGATATGAGA